TAAGACCAGTAAGTTATAACCATTCGGTATTTTTCTGACTAATAATTATTTTATATATTAATAAAATCCATATATCATCAGTTGATTTTTTTGTTAGTAAAATAATGATGTTTAAATTCGAATTTAAATTATTTAAAAAATTTGTTTTTATTTTATTTGGCTGTGAAATATTTATACTGTTTTTATTTATTATATTTTTTTAACGTCCACTGATTTAAATAAATATTAAATTTTATTGTAAATCGATGAAAATGTATTATTATACCTTATTTTTTCTAAACAAATTTATATATATATATATATATTATTAAAGCCGCAACAACTAAGGTTATTGGCATATTGTTCAATATACAAATATATTGTTAGCCTATGTATAATAGTATGTGCATTGTGCAGCGAATAATATTTCAATGCATTTATGTTTCTTATTACCAATATTTATATTACTTAAAACAAGAAACGATTTGAATTAATAAATTATACCTACTTTAAAAGTATGAAACAATGAGAAGAATATAAACAATTTTTTAATGATTTTAATTTTTCATGATACATTATTTTATAGAAACATATTATACTTTGCATTTTATACTATTTTACATTTTGATGAAATGTGCTACCAGAAACAACAATTGATGTTTTAATTTTTTATTTCAAACAAAAACTTCATAATAGTCTCAAAAAAAAAAAATATAGTAGAACTTTAATTAATATCAAATTCTAAATAAACTCCGTTTACATATAAAATCACTATCTAAATAAAGATTTGTTTTTATTAGAGTTTATTTAGGCCTACTTCCAACTTTTTTTATGCTTAATAATTGTTAAATATTTGGTTTTTAAAACGAAAGAYTTAACATTTTTTAATCTTACTGACATTTAATATATCATTTGAAACAWACATTTTTTTTAAAAGCTATGAGTGTTTAATAATAATATGCTTATTAGCACGCACTTTACTTTGATTATTTTCAATACATAAAAAGCATATATATGTAAACACAAAAATGACACAATATAATATAATAGTATTGATAACTTCTTTTGTATCTATTACAGATTAATTGTTATAAAATGTATGAGTTGATAAGTACTTTTAAAGGTGGGGTTTCGAGATAATATAAGTGTATTATATCATTTGATGTAAAATTATAACTCCATTGTAAATTGTATACGATTATTAGCTCTAAATTAAATAGCAAATAGATAAGACGTATCTTAATTATCTTTACGTGCAACCACGGTCTAAGTCTCTTAGAAAATAAGGTCGAACAACTCCCACCCCCGCCGGCCCATGATAATACATCCGCTTAAAAATGCGAAAACAGTTCCAATTTTAATAACCTTATAATTGAGCGAGCGCTGATGGTTATACGTTTTTGAAGTTAGGCAATAAATATTAAATAGTCAATACAAAAAAATAATGCATTACTATGTGTATAAATAGTAAATACTATACTGTAATTTTAAATACTATACATATATTACATTATGATTATTATTATAATATGATATGTATATTATATATTATTATTATTAAAATGCTCTATGAAATAAAAATAAATTTATTAAAATTAATATCTACTGACTATTGTTATTTTTTGCATACCTATAATTATTCCCCAAATATTAATTTTGTTTCCTTGTGAAATTATAATCTTTATATTATTATAATACATTTCATAATTAAATTTTCCACCGTTCACCTTCTTCACAATGCCAAAAAAGTG